AGGCAGCTCCGCGCTCCCGGCCCGCCCGGCTCCCCGGGAAGGTAAATCTGTTTTTTTTTCCCATTTCTGGCGGTTCGGAGGTGAGGAACATTTCCCCTCATGAATTATTCATGAGCACATCCCCTGCCGGCAGGCTCATTTGCATATTCATGCCGCAGCTACTGCATTATTCATGAGCGCGATGGAAATGGGGAGGAAAAGGAGAAATTGGAGTCCTGAAAGTGGGGGCGAGATGAGGGGAGAGGGAAAACACCCAAAAATGGGATTTGGGGCGTTAAAAACGGGAATTTGGGGCTTTAAAAACGGGAATTTGGGGCGTTAAAAACGGGAATTTGGGGCTTTAAAAACGGGAATTTGGGGCGTTAAAAACGGGAATTTTGGACTGTCAAAAATGGGATTTTGGACTTTAAAAAAGGGAATTTTGGGCCTTAAAAAAGGGAATTTTGGACTGTCAAGAATGGGATTTTGGACTTTAAAAAATGGGAATTTTGGACTGTCAAAAATGGGATTTTGGACTTTAAAAAATGGGAATTTTGGACTGTCAAAAATGGGATTTTGGACCTTAAAAACGGGAATTTGGGGCTTTAAAAAACAGGAATTTTGGGCTTTAAAAAACGGGAATTTTGGATTGTCAAAAATGGGAATTTTGGACCTTAAAACCGGGAATTTTGAACCTCAAAAAATGGGAATTTTGGGCCTTAAAAAATGGGAATTTTGGACTTTAAAAAAGGGAATTTTGGACTGTCAAAAATGGGATTTGGGGCTTTAAAAACGGGAATTTTGGACTTTAAAAAATGGGAATTTTGGACTGTCAAAAATGGGATTTGGGGCTTTAAAAACGGGAATTTTGGACTTTAAAAAATGGGAATTTTGGACTTTCAAAAATGGGAATTTTGGGCTTTAAAAACGGGAATTTTGGACTGCCAAAAACGGGAATTTTGGGCCTTAAAAAATGGGAATTTTGGACTTTAAAATTTTGGACTGTCAAGAATGGGATTTTGGACTTTCAAAAATGGGAATTTTAGAGTTTCAAAAATGGGAATTTTGGACTTTCAAAAATGGGAATTTTGGGCTTTAAAAACGGGAATTTTGGACTGTCAAAACCGGGAATTTGACAACCTCAGGGGGCTCTGTAACGATACAGAGATATAGGGATTATTTCTATAATTTATATTCCATCATTTCTATTATTTATAATAGAAATTGTATTATTAAAATATAATTTATAATAAATATAATTGGAAATACATAAAATAAAGAGAATATATATAATCAATGTTAATGTATACATATTTATAATGTACAAAATAGGAAAATTTAAAATACAATTATTTAAAATATATATTAAATATATAAAAATATATCTTTTAAAAGATATAAAATTATTTATAAATATAAATATATAAAATTGATATAAATATACGGATATAAATAGCATCACACAAATTATAATTTATATTATTGTAATTGATATTATATATTATTACATTATTATTATAATTATATATATTATTATTATATATAAATATAATNCCGTGGGGGGAGTGGGGGGCGCTGGGGGCACACCGAGGCCGGGCTGATGCCATGGCGGAGCTGCCTGGGGGGGCAGGCAGGGATGGGGAGTGCTGGGGTGATGCCCGGGGGGGCACAGGGCACGGGGCGATGCCTTTTCCTCCAGCCCCAAAGCCCAGCCCTGGCTCCCGGCTCTCCTGACCCGTTTCTGTCCCCAGGGCCGTTCCCAGGCCAGCCCTTGTTCCCGGGCCCGGCCCCCCCCGGGTACCCCCAGGCTCTGCCCCTGCCGCAGCCGCCCCCCTACCTTGACCCTGCCGCTGCATACCCCGAGGTAGGTGGGGCACGGGGGCACACCTGTCCCTGGCACCTTTACCCTGGCACCTTTACCCGGGGACCCCTCCTGCCCACGGCCCAGGGGACCCAAAGACCCCAGTAAAGCCCAGGGGTGTATTCAGGTGACCCCCAGCCCCCTCAGGCAGGTGACAGTCCCTGGCTGCTGGCTGGGGGTGACACCTGTCTGACCTCGCTGCCTTGCTCTTTTTGCAGCTCTACCGTCTGAGCTTCGTGCCCCTGGGCGCTGCTGGCATCCCCCCCGTGTCCCCAGCGTACCCAGGGGCGTCCCTGTACCTGCCCCTGGCCCCGCCACTGCCCCTGGGGGCTCTGGGCTCCCCCGTGGCCTATTTGCCCCTGGGCCAGGTGTTCCCACCAGGATCCACCGTGCTGCTCGAGGGGGGCTTTGACACCGCTGCCAGGCTGGGGACAGGGGGCACTGCCAGCATCCCGGTGAGTGCAGCTGCATCTCTGCCATGGGGACAGCTGGGAGCGTTTGGGACAGGTGGGAGCGTTTGGGACAGGTGGCACTGGCACCGTCCTGGTGATACCAGGTGGATCTGTGGGGTTTGGGACAGGTGGCACTGGCACCGTCCTGGGGAGTGCGGCTGCATCTCTGGGGCTTGGGGATTTGGGTAGGAAGATTTGGGACAGGTGGCACTGCCAGCATCCAGGTGACTGCAGGTGGATCTGTGGGGTTTGGGACAGGTGGGAAGGTTTGGGACAGGTGGCACTGGCAGCATCCCGGGGAGTGCAGCTGCATCCCCAGGCCTGGGGGATTTGGGTGGGGAGGGACCAGAAGATCACCTGGCCCTGGCCCAGGTGAGTCCCAGCCCCATCCCAGCTGGTTTGGGCACTTCCAGCTGGGATTTGGGATCACAGGTGACCCTGGGCTGGGTGTGTGTGGCACTGCCCAAATCTGGTCTGGGGGAGCAGTGCAAGGGGGGCCTTGGCCACCAGACCTCACCTGTGCCCACACCTGGGCCTGGCACTGCCTGTGAGCTGGGGGAGGCTCCTGCTCCCCTGGCCCCCTTGGCTCCCCTCTCCTGGAGCCTGAGAGGTTCCTGCTCCCCTGGAATTGCCTCCTGTAGCTTGGGGACAGGTGACAGGTGTCTCCCAGGTGGCAGCACAGGTGACAGTGTGCCCCGCAGGTGGCAGTTCATGTGACAATGTGTCCCGCAGGTGGCAGCACAGCTGACAGGTGTCCCCCCCCACCCCGGCCCAGGTGCCACAGGCCTCAGAGGTGGCTCAGGGCTGAGGGCCCAGCGTGTCCCACCCCCAGCCACTGTCCCTCAGCAGGGCTTGGGGACATTGCTCTGTCCCCACAGCCCGTCCTGGGCACGACAGCAACCTCGGCTGTCCCCTGTTGTGACAGTGACCTGTCCCCTGTCGTGACAGAGTCCTATCCCCTGTGGTGACAGTGCCCTATCCCCTGTGGTGGCACTCTGGTGACAGTGCCCTGTCCCTGTGGTGGCAGTGCCTGTCCCTGTGGTGACAGTGTCTATCCCTGTGGTGGCAGTGACCTCTGCTGTCCCCTGTGGTGACAGTGCCTGTCCCTGTGGTGGCAGTGCCCTATCCCCTGTGGTGGCACTCTGGTGACAGTGCCCTGTCCCTGTGGTGGCAGTGCCTGTCCCTCTGGTGACAGTGCCCTGTCCCGTTTTGCCTTGCAGCCGCCGCCCGCCGGGTGCCCCCCGGGAGCCCCCCCGGTGCCCGTCCCGCCCGGAGCCGCCGTCCTGCTGCCCCCACGCAAGGGGGGCTTCCTGGGGGGGGCCGGGGGGGCCTTCAGCCTCTGGTGAGGGGGGGCCGGGTTTGGGGGTCCCCACCCGTCAGCACCTCCCCCCAGGGACCTGAACGGGGCCTGGGGAGGGACCCCCCCCGGGGGGACACGAGTGGGTGACAGGGGAGGGGTCCCGGGGGGCTCATTCACAAACAGGGGTGAGCTCAGCCCCGCCCCTTCCTCATTTACACGCCGCTGTAATTAATTAATGGCCTAATTACGCCCTGGGGAGGGGTTTCCCCTTCCACCGCCCTCATCACTCTGCTGGAGCCATCCGGGTTTCTCTTCTTTCTGGGAAAGGTGGATTTTGGGTAGGAAACAGAAAAAAATCTCGTCTCCAGAGGCAAAATCTCCTCCTCAGAGGCAAAATCTCCCTCCCAGAAGCAAAAATCTCCTTCCCAGTGGCAAAATTCCCTTCCCAGTGGCAAAATTCCCTTCCCAGAGGCAAAAATCTTCTTCCCAGAGGCAAAAATCTCCTCCCCAGCAGGGGCAGGGACACCTGAGCCCTTCCTGGCCTCACTCGAGGTGCCCCCTCACCCTCTCCCACCTTTCTCCCCCAGGAACCTCTGTCCTGGGATTTTTTTTAACCCACTCCCAGTAATCTCGGATCGTTTGCACCTCAGCTCTAATCAAAGCCATGAGCGGTGCCAGGGCCGTGCTGCAGCTCCCGGGGGATCCTCCCATTCCAGCTAGAGCCAGGTTTAATTGATGCTTCATTAGCAAACGCTTGGTTTTAACTCAGACCTGGTGTTTTCGCACCCAAATTCCTTAAATCCGAGAGGCTGTTTCCATCTGTCCCCGGGGTGGGGATGTCAGGGAGCACCCAAATCCCTTGGGTTTCCTCTTTGGGATGGGAATGGTTTGGGGGTTATCGATGGGTTGATCAATGAGGTGTTGATTGGTGGGTTTATGGAGGAGTTTTATCAATGGGAAGTTTGTCGGTGGGTTTTTATGAATGGGAAGTTTGTGAATGGGTTTATCGATGTGTTTATCAGTGACTCACACCTGCATTGATAACCAAACCTCCACAAGATTGGGAGGAGCACTTCAGGGATCCTCAGTCGGGTGTTTTCCTTCCTTTTGGTTGTTACTTGATGAAGAAAGAGCTCAGATTCGACTCTATTTTATCTTAATATTTCACTTTAATCTGAATCTGTGTTCTGTGTGAGTGTGACCATCCCTGACTGCTCCCGAGCTCAGCTCTCGGACTCTCTGTGCTGCACTGAACTTGTGGAGTTTTTATACTAAAAACCAAAAATAAAATAAAGATTATTTTGAAAATTTAAATGAAGTAACAGATTTCTGTTGGGCCTCTGAGAACCCCTTTGGCTGCTGCCAGCTGGGGTTTCCTCACTTCTTTCCTTTTTCCTGCTGCAGTGGGAACTTCCTCTTACTATTTTTTGGGGGGGGTATTTGGGGTTTTTCCTACCCTCGGGCACCCATGTAATCCTTCCATGGTTGGCTTCATAAATTAAGGAAAAAAACCAAACAAACCAAACAAAACCAGCTGTAGATCCTCAGCTTTAGGCAGAACCCCAGCTCCAGGGAATTTAGGGAAATCACAGGCTCCAGGGGATTCAGGCAGATCCCAGCTCCAGGAGATTTAGGCAGAACCTCGACCCCAGGGAATTTAGGCAGGTTTTCAATTGAGGTGGATCCCCCAATCCAAGCAATTTAGGCAGAACCCCAAAGCCAGAAAATGCAGGTAGAGCCCCAGCTCCAGGGAATTTAGGCAGATTCCCCTTCAGGAAGATCCCCCACCTCCAAGAAATTCCAGCAGATCCTCAGCTCCGGGATATTTCCGCGGATCCCCAACTCCAGGAAATTTGGGCAGATCCCTGATGCCAGGGAATTCAGGTAGCATCCTAACCCCTGAAAATTCACGTCGACCCCCCAGCTCCAGGGAACTTCGGGACCTGTGTGGATGCCAGGCGCGTCCTTAGATAAAATATTCCTCCTTCTCCTTGGCCGGAGGCTCCTCCCGCGGGGCCGTGTCCGGCTCGGGCTGCTCGTAGGTGCGGTAGGAGCCCTGGTTGCGGTACAGGTAAATCCCGATCACCGCCAGCACGGTCAGCAGCGTCAGGAACACCAGGGTGATCACCACTGCGGGCAAGCACAGGCTCAGCCCGAGCGCCGGCAGCGCCCCGGGGCCGAGCGGAGCGCGGCCTCACCTGCGATCACGGCCGTGTCGGCGTCCTCATGGCCGGGGGGCGTGGGAGCCTTCCTCAGGTACGGGGTGGTCAGGTCTTCCTCGGGACAGCGAGAGAGGGAGGTGAGGGAGGGCTTGGGACGGGTGGGGAAGGTGGGAAGAGGCCAGAGAAGCGGCTCCAGGCGCTCACCTGAGCCCAGGTGGGGCTGATCTCTCTCCATCGCATCGGCTCCTGCCGGGGGAAGGTTTGGGGTCCTTCAGAGCTGCCAAAAACAGCGGTAAAAGCGGTGAATTCCCACTCAATGCCCCATCAGCTGTGCTCAGGTGGGGCTGAGATCCCTCCTTCCAGGTGAGGCTCCGGGTTCCTTCGGAGCTGCCAAAAATAGGGATAAAAGTGGTGATTTCCCCCAAACCGCCCCCAAAGGCTCCGCGCCAGGGGGGTGGTGCAGCACCAGTAACGCACTGGTGTTACTGGGCCGGGGTCGGAGCCGGGGCAGGGAAGAACCAGCCCCTGACTCGATTCACTCCCAGATTTTGAGAGCTTCAAAGTGCCCGAAAGTCCTTGAAAACGCCCCAAAGGCGGGGCCGGAGCTCGGTGTCGCAGCCGGGACGTGGAGCTGTCCGACCCACCTTGGCTGTGCCCGATGGGGACCCCCGGGCCCCCCAGAGTGTCCCGGCAGTGGCTCCGGGCGCGGGGCCGGGTGGCTCCGGGGCGCGGGGGTTCCGTGACTCAGCGCGCTCCGAGCGAATCAAATCCCATTTGTTTGGGGTTTTAAAAAAAGAGGAAATCGAGCGGCGGGAGCGGGGCAGGGGCGGGGCCACGGCCGGGCCGGGAGCGGGAATTGGGGCTGGGGGAGCGCCGGGAATTGGGGCTGGGGGCGCCGGGAATCCGGGAGTTGGGGCAGAGTGAAACGGGAATTGGGATGGGGGAGGTCCGGGAATTGGGGCTGGGGGAGCTGGGAGAGCTGGGGAGCCCCGAGAAATGAGGCTGGGGGAGGAGCCGGGAGTTGGGGCTGGGGGCTCCGGGAATTGGGGCAGTGACAGGAGTAGCAGGGACCCCGAGCAGCCACCCGCTCATTAAACTCAGTTTTACTTAAGATCAGCTCTGCTTTGAGCCCGATTGTACTCTAAACCCAGCTTTGCTTTAAACCTGGTTCTGCTTTAAAACTAGTCCTGCATTAAACCTTGCTTTATTTTAAGCTGGTTTCACTTGAAATTTTTTTCACTTTAAACCTTGTTTTGTTTTAAATCCAGCTTTGCTTGAAACCAAGCTCTGCTTTAATCCCAACTTTGTTTTAAACCCGATTTGCCTTAAACCCAGCTTTGCATTAAACCCGATTTTATTTCCAGCACAATTTTGCTTTAAGCCTGATTTTACTTTAGTCCAGTTCTATGTTAAACCCAACTTTTCTTTAAACTTAGTTTTGCTTTAAACTCATTTTGCTTTAAACCAAATTTCACTTTAAGTCCAGCTTTTCATTAAACCCAGCTTTGAATTAAACCTGATTTTGCCTTAAAACCAGCTTTCCTTTAAACTGAGCTTGCTTTAGACACGATTTTGCTTTAAACACAGATTTGCATTACATCCAGAGTTGCTTTAATCCCAGCTTTGTTTTAAACTCGGTGTTGCTTTAAACCCAACTTTGAATTAAACCAAGTTTTGCTTTAAACGGTTCTGTTTTCAATCCGGTTTTGCTTTCACCCAGCCCTTCATTAAACCCGGCTTTGCTGTGACCTCCCCCGGCAGCGCTCTCCGGGCTCTGGGCCTTTCCCAAAGCCAAGCACGGCCTTCCCATGGAGCAGCTGCTGCTCCCGGGTGGCTTCAGAGCCAAAACTGGGATTAAATTCCCCAAAAGAGTCTGGGGTTTAGGGGAAGAAGAGGAAAAGGCGCCGCTGGGTGGAACGGGGCTGGTCCGAGCCTTGGGAGGCGTTTCTTGGGAAGAGTCTGGCACTGCCAGGGAGGAACTCAAACCAGTTCTGGGCAGAGCACCCAAAAATCACAATCCTGGGACCCACAGCGCCTGAGAACTGGAATGCTGGGGCTCGCCAAAGGTTTAACCCGAGTTTATCTGAGGGAAGGGTTTGATTTCCATCAAACCTTGCGTGGTGGTGGGAGTGCAGCTCCTCCTGCTCTCTCCGGGGCAGGGATGCTCCCCCTGGATCCCCTCCCGGCTCCCGCCTTGGGATCGTGGGAAGGAATCACCCGAGCCCTGCGGGAAGGCTCCGGTGCTTCCCACCGCGGAAACCCTCGGGATCTGTGGCAGTGCCAGGCCGGGATCCAGCCCGGAAGACGGGGGCTGGCAGCGGCGGTGAATCATTCCCAGCCCGCTGCATCCCGATGCATTTCCACGGGTTTTCAAAGCAGGGTTGTGAAAAACCCTCATCTTCCTCATTCCTGCGCTCCGGCCGAGCGGCTCCAGAGCCGCTCCCGAGGGAAGCCCTGCCCCGCTCGGCTGCTCTGATCCAAAAACCCCTTCCAGGAGCACCGGGGATGCAGCCCCCCATCCCATCCCCATTCCCGTGCCCGTTCCCGGTGCCTGGAGGAGGGGAGGAGCAAACCAACCCTACAGCGATTTTTTAGGGGGGCTTGGCAGCGCCTTCACAGCCCCTCCATTCCCTTTCCCGGTGAATGGAGGATGGGATCACCAAACCACCCCCCCAGGCTTCTTTCGGGGGTGCTCGGCAGCCCCTTTACAGCCCCCCACCCCCATTCCCGGTGTTTGGAGGACGGGAGGAGCAAACCGTCCCTACAGATTTTTTAGGGGTGCTTGGCGGTGCCTTCACAGCCCCTCCCTTCCCATTCCCGGCGGATGGAGGATGGGATCACCAAACCACCCCCCCAGGCTTCTTTCGGGGGTGCTCAGCAGCCCCTTTAGAGCCCCCCCTTCCCCTCCCCAGCGGGTGGAGGGCGGGATTTGCTGCTCGCCCTCGTTTCTTCTCCGTCACCTTGGGATGATCCCCTGGGACCAGCACTTTGCTCCCCCTGTTTCCCCCTCAGCTTTCCTGCCGGATTTCCTGATTTCAGCCTCTCCCTGTGGCAGGATCCGGCCTTTCCCTCCGCTCCCACCCCAAATCCAGCTGGAAAATGCCCCGACATTCCGGCTTCACCCCAGACCGGCTGCACAGCCGTCCCTCGCTGCAGGGCTGCGGTGCCGCCGTGTCCAGACCCCTGTGCCTGGGATTTTGCGCAGCCACCCCCTGAAGCCCCCCAGGGACCGGGAATTTCGGGGGGGCACCCCGGGATCCAGGCCCCACTCCTGCAGCTCTTACCTGCCGGCACCATGTGCGGCTCCAGGTGAAGGCGTTGCCCAGGTGAAGGCGTTGCCCTTTTCCTACCTCACCTTTCCAGTTCGGCCGGAATGAGGATCAACCCCCCCCCGATCCCCTCGCTGGCTGCGGGCCAAACCCATCATCCCGGAGATTGGGAATGGGGCTTCGTGCGGGAATGGGGGAATTCTGGATCACGGGAGGGGAAAATTGGGGTGTTTGGGGTTTTTTTTGGCATGACAGCGCATTTTCCGGAACTGGTGGAACAGGCTCGACGCCTTTTTCCCGAGTCACAGGTGTTGGAGCCGGGCAGAGAGTGACAACCCCCAACCTCCCACCCCCTACACTCAGGCACCCCAAATCCGCCGGTGGGGTCCCCCCGGACCCCTCCACAATCCCAGATGGAAATTTGGGATTTTTCCACCTTTTCCATCTTTATTTCCTACGGGATGGGGGCTGGGAAATACTTTCTGGGGAATGAATTTAGAGAAGACGCCTCATTTCCCTGTGGGATCACAGGGTGCTGAGGGACTCGGGGGGATCCTGGGGGGGGTCTGCAGCGCCTGAGGGGTCCCGGCTCGTGTCCTGCTCCGGTGTCCCGGAACAGCCCTGGGAGAGACGCGGGGGTGACACTGGCAACTCGTGATTCCGTTGAATCCCCCCCAAAAGGGACCGAGCCCCCCGCCCGTTGCACCCGCCTGGGTTGGGGGTCCAGGGGGGCACCCGCCGTTCCCGGGGCCCGGCGCCGCGGGGAGGGGCAGGTCCGGTGTCCCAAGGGCTGGCTTTGTCCCCCGGGCCGGCCCCGTGTCCCCACATCCCGCTCGGATGTCCCCAGCCGGGAATTCCCCTGTGTGCGTTCCTCGCTCCCACCCCGGCGTCCCCCAAAATTTCCCCCTGAGTTTTGCGCACCTGTGGCTCGACATCCGCCGCCTCCGCGCTGTCCTCGGTGTCACCGCGCTGTCCCCGCTCACCGCCGAGCTGGCACGGCTCCCGGGGACACGCCGGTGCCGCCGCGGGACCGAGGACACGGCAGGGGACAGCTGAGGGGGGGGACGGCGGCACCGCGGGCCGTGCCCGACCCTCGGCGCTGGTGGCCGCGCTGTCCCCTGCCGCGTCCGCTGCTCTCCCCGCCGCTGGTGACAAGGTGCCAGCGGCCTGGGCAATGGCTTCGGATAAAATCAGTGACGCCAGGGAGGTGGCGATGGCCTCGGGCCCCCCCAGCGCCCCGCTGTCACCCCCCGGCTCCGCGGCTGTCGCCGATGGCCCCTGGCCAGGGGACAGAGAGTCGGGCTTGGAGAGGGGCTCCGGGGTCCCCTCGCTGCACACCGACCCTGTCACCGACGTCGCCCGCTCCGGGGGCTCGCTGTCGCCGCCGGGTTCCGCGTTCTCCTCGCTGGACACCGACGCCGAGTCCAGGGAGCCCCCGCTGGCGGGCGAGGCCGGGGGGGGCCCGGGGGAAACAGCCCCCAGCTCCGCGCTGGTGGCGGTGTCGGTGGCGGCGCTGTCCCCGCCGGGGGACAACGGTGTCACCTCCACGTCCACCACGGGAGCCTTGTCCGGGCAGGGGAACATGGCCGGGGGGCTCACGGGCGCGGAGATGACCAGAGAGCGGCGGTTACTGGGGGGGGACAGAGGGGTTCAGCTTGGGGTGTCCCCAAGCATCCTTGGGGTGTCACCGTCCCAGCTTGCAGGGGACGCTTCCCCATCCAGCAGGACCCCGATAATTCCCCAGGCCCACCAAGAGGCACCTTCAGCCCATCTGCGGCAGACACCCGCCCCAGGAGGCCTGGGGGGCGAATTGTCCCCTCAATGTCCCCGGCTGTTACCTGGGGACACCTTTGATGATGAACACCTTGCTCGAGTGCTGCTTCTCCAGTTTGCTCATCACCTCGTACAGGTCCCGGTTGAGCTGGGGAGGGGGGACACAGAAACCCTTCAGGGGGACCCCCAAGTGCCCCCCATCACCCGGGGGCTCAGCAGGGCCCCCAACCCCTGGGGACACCCCGAACACCCTCGGGCTGCTCTGAATGAATGAATGAAATGAAGGGCAAGTATTCTGGAGGGACGGGGAAAGCACCGGTGTAGCCACCTGGGGACACCTGAGGACGCCTGGGGACACCTGGGGACACCTGGGAACACCTCGTGCTACCGGGGTCGGGGGAGGTGTTTTGGGATGCCTTCCCCACCTTGCTCATCTCCTTGTAGAAGACGTCGCGGAGGTTGGAGATGTTCTGGAAAACGGTGACGTAACAGGCGATGCGGCTGCGGGGACAGGGAGGGGTCTGGGCGTGCCCCACGATGTCCCACCGAGGGGACAGGGAGGGAGCTGGGCGTGCTCAGCCACCTCCCATCCGTCCCCCAGGCTGAGTCCCCAACTCCGTGGGCCCCGCACGGAACGGGAATGTCCCCTCAGGGCCACCCCATGGATGCCGTGGAGCTGCCACCTCCCACTGTCACAGGCCCCAGTGGCTGATGGCCCCAGGACCCCCGATGTGTCCCCAGGGTGGACTTTGA